TCAAGGCTAGCGCTCTACCACTTGAGTCACAGCACCACTTCTGGCTTTTTTCTTTTTTGCTTATGTGGTGCTGAGGAATCGAACCCAGGGCCTCATGCATGCAAGCCAAGTGCTATACCACTGAGCCAACTTCCCAGCCCCATATTAAATTTATTAGAGTATTAGCAACACTCTGATGCTCTTGAGATTATAGTAATAGAATCTGTATAATCCATAAACTTTATAAAATATTTAGATAAAATTATGATTAGTAGAAGTAGCACCTCTCATTTGCTAATGATTATCCAGTTTTTTTCCAATATTTTTTTTTGGAGGGGCCATTCATGGGGCCTGAACGCTGGGCCTGGGTGATGTGTCTCAGTTCTTCAGCTCAAGGCTAGGGCTCTAACCTCTTGGGTCACAGTGCCACTTCTGGATTTTTCTGTTTATATGGTGCTGAGGAATTGAACCCAGGGCCTCATTCATCAAGGCAAGCACTGTATTAGTGAGCCACATTCCCAACCCAATTTTCTCAGTTTAATACTCATATCTTTTTGGTGCCTTTTTTAATGATGATAACTTGACCTAAGACCCTAGTGAATATTGTTCTTTCCTTCTTTTTCTCTGTGTTCTTTCTTCCTTTCTTCCTTCCTTCCTTCCTTTCTTTCTTTCGTTCGTTCCTTCTTTCTTTCTTTTTTCTCTGTCTCCCCTACCTCCCTCGTTTCCTGCCTCACTTCCTCCCTCCCTCTCTTCCTTCCTTCCTTCCATACTTCCTTCCTGTTTTCCTTTCATTCTTACTCTGTTTCTTCCACTCTCTCTCTCCCTTCCTTTTTCTTTCTTTCTCTCATTCTCTCATTCTTTCGCTCCCTGCCTCCCCCTCCCTCCTTCTCTTCCATCCTCCCTTTCTTCTTTCTTTTCTTGCTTTCTTCCTTTCTTTCTTTTTCCCTCTTTCTTCCTCTATCTCTCCTTCCCACCTTCCCAACTTCCCTCCCTCCGTCCCTCTCTCTCTTTCTTTATTCCTTCCTTCCTTACTTTCTTTTTCTTTATTTCTCTTTCTCGCCCTCCTTCCCTCCCTCTCACTCGCTTTTTCCTTCCTTCCTTCCTTCCTTCTTTCCTTCCTTCCTTCCTTCCTTCCTTCCTGCCTTCCTTCCTTTCTTTTTCTTTATTTCTCTTTCTCTGTTTCTCTTACTCCTTCCCTCTCTCCCTCTCTCTTTTTTCCTTCCTTCCTTTCTTTTTTCTTTCTTTCTGTCTTTTATCTTTCTTCCTTTTCCGCTCATTGCCTCCTTCCTTCCTTCCTTCTTTCCTTCCTTCCTTCCTTTCTTCCATACTTCCTTCCTTCCTTCCCTCCCTCCCTCGCTCCCTCTCTCCCTCCCTACCTCTCTTCCTACCTTCCTTCCTTCCTTCGTTCCTTCCTTCCTTGTTTCATTTTGTTATGGACAGGGTCTCACTATGCAACTCAGGGTGCACTGGAAAATACAGTTCTTCAGCCTCAACCTTACAAGTAGAATTAAAGGTGTGAGCCACTATGTCTGGCTAACACTTGTGTGTGTGTGTGTGTGTGTGTGTGTGTGTGTGTGTGTTGGGAGGGGCAGGTTACTAGAGTTTTCTCTCAGGTGCTTCTGTATGCTTGTCATATGGTTTACTGCTAAACCATAACTCTATTCCTTCCTAAATGTTACTTATTATTGATATAAGGTTTTGATTCTTTTTTATTAATGGTTTTTATTGTGAAATTACTGTACAGAGGGGGTTACCGTTACATGAGCAAGGTAATGAGTACATTTCTTATCAAGCATTGTTGCCTCCTCCTTTGTTTTTCCCTTACCATCCCTTCCCTCCCATCTCCAAAACTACACTCCCGCCGCAGTCCCCTATCCCACCCCCTTCCTAAATTGTACAGTTCGTTTTTCAACATAGTGTCTTGTACATCTCATTGTTACAATGGGTCAACCAGTATCTCTATTTAAACATTTTGTTGTTTTCCTTTCCCTCCCCAAATTAGACCAACAGCGAATACAGTGAAAACAGGGGTTATACCATGGGGGAGGAACATACAAAGTAACAAAAAAAATCACATGGTAGGGTGGTGATATGGTAGACTTCCCACAGCAGCTAGGGTGACAGGGTTGTACATTCCCCCTCCCTCCCCCGCACCCTGATTCTTCTGCTGAGGTAGAGTCTCATGGACTTGTCTGCCTGGGCTGGCCTAGTCTGAGATCTAACTTTCCCCTGTAGCTGACAGGCATTTACCATCACACCCACCTATTGCTTTCTTTCTTTTTTTATGGTATTGGGATTTGAACTTGGGGCCTTGCACCTGCTAGACTAGCACTCTACCACCTGACTCATGCCTCTAGCCCTGCTTTTTTTTGCTGGTTGATTTACAGATAGAGTCTAGTGAACTTTTAGCTGATTGTTTTACAGATGGAGTCTAGTGAACTTTTCTGCCTGTGCCTCAAGCCATGATCATCCTAGATCTTAGCATCCTGACTAGCTAGAAATAAGCATAAGCCACTGGCAGTCTGTGCCAGCTCCAGCTCTTGCTTTCTAAGGGATTTTGTGCCCAGGATGGCTACAAACCTCAATCCTCCCAATCTGAGCCTGTCAAGTACCTAGGTTTACAAGGTGGAGGGGGTGGGGTGGGGTAGGGGAGGAGGCATCTGCACACCATACAAGTTGACTTTCTTACTTTTCCTAGGGGTGTCAATGCTGGCTACCACTGTTGGTCTTTATCTTACCCTTTTTGTAAGAACGCAGCATTGCTGATTGTCGTGATGGCTCTCTTTGGGGCTGCGTTTGGCAGTATTGATACAGGTCAGTGGCACCTTTGTTCTATCTAAGAGTGAGTGCTTTCTGTTAGAAAAGTTGAGCTGAGGACGCTAAATTTTGTCTTGTAATAATTAAAAACAACAGAAATTTACTCAGGTGATAATTAAACCTAGAGGGTTAATTATCTACTAGGCTAAAACTTTGTAACCATTATTTGGCTGTGAAAGCACAGACAGAAGCAGACATAGTATTATCACACATAATGTACAGAGTATTTACACAGTATACATTATACAAAATATAAAATGTCCAAAGGCATTTCGATTTAACATGTCAATCTATGTGTATAATGTTTATATATATATATATATATATATGTGTGTGTGTGTGTGTGTGTGTGTGTGTATGCATGTGTGGATAGATGAAGGTCCTGGGGCTTGAACTCAGAACCTGGTATGGTCCCCTAGCTTTTTGCTCAAGGTGAGCACTCTACGACTTGAGCCACAGCTCCACTTCCACGAATTAATTGGAGATAAGTGTCTCACAGGCTGGCTTTGAACCACAATCTTCATATCTCAGGATCCTGAGTAGCTAGGATATCATGAGAATCAAGGATTAAAGGCATGATCCACCTGCACCCAGCTTAGCACAGTGTATCTTGATGAATGTCACCCCTTCCACATGCTCCTCCCTCCTTCCCAGTCCCTCAAGTTACCTGGTTCTGTTTTCTCATATGTATATTGAATATTATGACTGCATTCACCCACTCTTCCTCTCTCTATGCCAGACACACAATCTAAAATCAATCTTCTCTCCCAAGCTTAGAGAAATCCATGTAATTCACTACTTTCCCATGTTTCTATTTTGTTATATTCTTTCTCTAAAGTTT